GTAAATCAATTTGACATTATTATTATTGACACTAATAATATCAAATTGATCATAGGTTTGATAATGAAGATGGATAAAGTCTTTAAAACGTCACCAGATAAGTTTACGAAAAGAATAGGTTTCCGGGGTTAGAAATTTGAGCATCTGAATTTCGGCTTGAAACGCGCTCAAAGTTGTTAGGCGTTTCGGCTTCGACTTTGAAGCCATTTTCAAGAAGTAGAAAAGTGGCTGTACTGATAACTGTTCGAGAACTCAGTTCAGGTTAATATTCCTGTCCACAATCGAATTAACGTAGTCCGCGAAATTTGAACATTCACCCTATTTTTTGAACAGACCTCGTACACTTGTTACCTGTATTCTTCTAGTTTTCTAGACTTTTCGTTCTCGGTCTCGGAATTCTCGGTCAACATCCTGTTTGTTTGTTGTTATAGATTATCGAATGAGACATCTTGACATTTGTCAAACAAAAATACGCATATTTTCAAAAGAGGCGTATTTGAAAGTAATTTTACAGGTTTTGAAAATGGGAAAGGACTTTCTTCCAAAATGCCGTTTTGAAAAAGTTGAGTAAGTATTATAAATTTCATTTTTTCGATCAATGGGTTTATACGCGGAATTTATAAATACAAGTTACTAATTGGACTCTTCGAAGGGTATATTACTGTTGTAAATCATGCTCGAAAGAAAATAACGCCGACTGCCACTGGTAACTATAAACCAAACGTGACGTAGCTAAGGGCGCGCGAAGGTACGATGGTTCCCCGCCACTTTAGAAGCAGCAAGAATAATGCTACCGATTTCGTCGGAATTTCGATTACGATAGAATCAGAGACGAATTGCAGGCATCTTTGAACATTAGTATAGCTAATGAGATTATTTCTTTCAGAACATCCGCTAGAAATCTGGGTTTGATAATTGACAATAAACTCAAATTCACGGAGCACGTTACGTCGAAGTTGAAAATTGGCTATGCTAATTTGAAAATGATCCACTACCAGAGTAAATTTCTAAATCAAAGCACAAAGAAAGAACTATGTGATTCAATTGTTCTCTCACACATGAACTTCTGTGATAGCATATATGGGCCGTGTTTAGATAATAGAGATTCCGGGCGCATTCAGAAATTACAAAATTCTTGTGTAAGGTTGATATTTGGTATAAGGCGAAGACAGAGAATGTCGCATAAAATGAAGGAAATAAGTTGGATGAATATGTATAATCGAAGACTACTTCATACAACCTGTTTCTTCTATAAAATCTTAAAATACGAAAAACCTCCTTATTTACACAAAAAAATCATCTTTAGAAGCCATGTTCATAACGTAAATATTCGTAGAAGAGGAATTATAACTATACCCTCCCATAAGAAAGAGATATTCAAACGTTCCTTCACATACTGCACGGCAAATCGTCTGAATAAATTTCGGATCACTGACTTCACAAAATCGATGGCGTCATTCAAAAGAATGGTAAAAGAGAAGCTATCTCAACATTGAGATATTTAGTACTCACCTGACAGTTTTCATATAATCTCAATCTTAGTCTCAGTATATGCATTTTCCCTCTGGGCCTCAACAGCACCTGATCTCGTATCAGAAAGCTGACAATAGGCCAATTAATATGTATATCACAAAATATATGTATTATTATACTGGTCATGTAATTGTGAATTCGGAATAATAAACATATTATTATTATTATCTATGAATTCTCTAGCATCTGAATGTGGGGATCGATAGATTGCTGTAACAATTATATTTTTTCTACCTGAGTGGATATTTTAATGTCCATTATGTTAATATTATTGTGAATTTCAGTCTGGTAAAAAGTGTAATTCAATGATGTTTTCACATAAACTACAACGCCATCATTTTGATTATAGTGACTTTCGTTATATAGCATGTCGTGATGTATAGTAATATCCGTATAGAACGGTTTGTGATAAATTGAAAAATCATGTTTGTTGTTCATTCTACTAATTATTAGGTCCAAGAAATTGGACCAAGACATGTTTTCATGAATTTTGTTAATATCCCTATGAAAATTATCTAATTGCCTCTTTGTACCTGTATAACATACCAAAACGTCATCCACATATCTATGCCAATACAAGAGATTCTTAATCAAAGGATGTTTAAAGATCGACTTCTCTAGATTATCCATGAAAATTTCTGCAAGTAAGGGGCTTAATGGATTTCCCATCATCAAACCTTTTGAGGAGGAATAAATATTGTTGTTATTGAAAATAATTTTGTTTGAGATATAACGACAGAAGGTCCTCTATTTTCACTCTATTTTTATCTAATAATTCTATTACTACAGTAATAGCCTCATCAGAAGGTATGCTGGGAAATAGATTCTGCACATCAAAAGATAATAGTTTTGCGTCGTCTGGTAGAGGTATGTTCTCTATTTTATTGATTAAGTCATATGTAGAATTGATTTTGAAGTTACAATGGTTCAAGATGATATTGATTAGCCTTTCTGATAATTTCACTGATGGTGCAGTGACAAAGGAAACCACTGGTCTAATTGGATAACTCTGTGCAGTTTTATGAGTGAATATAATTTGGGCATTTAGGGGTTCATCAATGGTAATTTGAACTTTTCCCTTTCAGTAAAAAGTATGTTTGAATTTTTCAAAAAATCTTTCACTGGTCTTTGGAAAGAATTAGTTGGATCACGTTTCAGCATTTCAAAATTTCATAACTTCAAGAAATCAAGGGTTTTGTTGACATAGTCGATTCGGTCAATAGCAACCACAGTGTTGCCTTTATCTACTCTAGTCAATATATCATCGTTTTCGTTAATTTTACTACGTATTGATTTCACTAGTTTCAATTCATTCGTAAAACTACCTTCTTTCAAAAATTGTGATTTTATGATATGTGACGCCTGGTGTTTGTTATTAATGCTATTCAATGCCCCTCCTAATGCCATTTCTGTTTCGATCTGACTGACTCGGGATGCGAAGCTTCGAAGATGTGTGTTCCTGTGAGAACTGTTTTGTCAGCATCTGAAACAGGGTGGTGGTACTGCTGACAGGGTGGTGGTACTGCTGGATCAGCGGAGTCGCCGTAGGGGGTGAACTAATTTCCTATATTTTCATCTCAATTTATAGGCAATGTTAATTTCATATGAGCAGATAATTAGTATTTTGTTACGGTCCTGATATTCAAAGTATTAATAGGACTGGGGGTATTGNGGTTGGTAAATATTCAATACAAACAAGAAAGAGACAGAGGAACATCGTAAACTATTGATAAACATTCAGGAGAATCAAGATGGGAAGATTGTAAATTGTTGATGAATATTCAAGAAAAACAAATAAAAATATCCTCAAGAGGGTAAGGGGAAGGAACAAGAATTTATTCAGGAAAAAATTGAACAAGTTATTGAGAACAAAACAAAGCTGAGGAGGTTGAAAGAAAATTTGAAAAGGAGCTTCAAGGAAGGAGTCGGAAGAAAATTTTAAGATGTTTCCCGGGAACTTTATAAAGAATCGCCGGGGCCGAAGAAAATCGCTGTGGAAAAATGCAAATCGGAATCAACATCTCTCCGTTCTAGCAGTAGTTTTATTAAAACTTCAACTTTCTATGGCGAATCTTCATGGTCAATTTATCGCAGACAATTTGAGGCCGCTGCGGAAAATAATGAATGGAAAAATGAGAAGAAAGCAACAGCTCTTATACTGGCGCTACGAGGAAAGGCCTCAGAAATTCTGCAAAATATTCCAGTGAATAGGCAGAAGGATTATGAAGCAGTCGTATCAGCTTTGGAGGTCAGATATGGTAGTCTACCAAGTCTACCAAGCTCAACTGAAGGCGAGAACTCAAGATCCATCAAAAAGTTTGCAAAAGTTTGGGGCTGAAGTCGAAAGGTTGGTAAGACTCGCCTAGCCAGAAGCACCTGATAACTTCGCCCACTGGATTAGCGTCCATAGTTTCATCGACGGGGTTCGTGACACGGAGCTACAGCAGTCATAAAAAATTTAATGAAGCCATCATTTATGCCCTAGAATTTTAAGCTGCTAAAAATGCTTCGCGACAACAACAAAAACTTCTATTGAGTGCCATCAATGAAAAGGAAGATGAAGGAAAAGATCGACTCATAGTAGGACTTGTTGAAGAACTCTTGAGACATATTTGATGAATGGAACTGTACCCAAGGCAAGAGGAAGGACCTAAATGTTATAACTGCGACAGAGAGAAGGACATTTAAGGCGTGACTGTCGATCACGTCCAACATCCGACGAAAGAAGAGATAGGCGTTCGAGATCACCCGAATTGGAGCGACAGAGTTTGGAAAAACCAAATTCAGCCTACTTTAAGAGAAGTACATTGGCTGCTGCATCCCAAGCCCCTAGGTATTCGATTTCCATGATTGGACGCAACAGTAACAGCTTAGTTGTCGACGGATTTCTGAATAATCATCAGTACTTTTATCACTAATCTGAGTAATCATTACTACTGGAGCAACGAGGTCTGTAATGAGAGCAGACATTTTCAACAGAAGCAGTTTGAATAAATTATCAGTAGTACCTATTCTGGAAACAGCCACTGGAGATAGATTAACAGTCTATGGAGAAGCTGAGGTGAGACTGAGGCTTGGAAATTGCGAAATAGAAACTAAGGTATTAGTGGCCAACATTGTCGGCGAATTTATTCTGAGACTGGACATCATTTCCCCCTACGGATTTGTGGTGGACATACGAAACAAACTGTTGAAGGTTGGAAATGAGGAAAAGTAACATTAGGAATAAACTTTTCTGGGTGAACTTTTCAGTTGTACCTTTATTATGCTTGAGCAGATTATGTGTTGACATCATTCATTAATTTTTCAAATTATGGAAGACTATCTAAACTTGTTCCTTTGTGCAAAATATCAACCTTTGCACTATAAAAATCCTTTAGATGAGTGAAGCGCATCAAGATAATTCATAATATCCAATATGCAGCGACTATAATCTCATTTTTTATTGTATTTTTTTATGTTTTCAGGTCAGGGAGTCGAGAAAATTGATATTAACTTGGAGAATCAGACTGTGAAAGTTGAAACTTCTCTACCAGCTGAAGTTATACTAGACGTTATCAAGAAAACTGGAAAAGAAACTGTATATGTATCAAGTTCTTGAATATCATATTATATTTTTTATACATATATAAATATACACTGCAGCTCTAAGTTGGATGAAT